CTTTCTTTCTTTCTTTCTTTCTTTCTTTCTTTCTTTCTTATCTGGAACCATCGAGGTCTACGTATCAGTGTGCTGCAGTTTGGTAAATGTTTATTTCAGCTGCTGTCACTTTAACTGTCTGCAGTCAACACACATTCAGTGGCTTTACTGTTTGTTTGTTTTTTGTGTGTGTTTTTTTTTTTTCAATTCTCCCCTTGGTAGTTTCTGTATTTTTTATTTTATCATTACACTTTTATATTATTTTGTATTGGACTATTTGAAGTTTGAGTTTGGGATTACTCAGCATTTTTTCGTTTATGATGAAGCTATTTTTGAAATAATTGATATTTAAGCTTTGTCAACATTATCTTAATTAATAAGAACAGTGCATAAGATGGGGTTTTGTCAATTATGTCAGAMTTGTGCTCACTGAAATGTTATGTAGTGAAACACTGAAACAGAAAACTGATTAGTTTCAAATATTTGGGTTACTGTAATTAAGACACTGTAATTATTAAAAAACTGTAATTGGAAAAAGAAGGAAAAAAAGATTAAATATTGGAAAATAAATTGTTGTAGAATTAGAAGATAATCGAGTCAAAACTGTAAAGGTCATAGAAAATTTAGTTGCAGACCATGAGGAGATGAGACTCACTGACACCCTGAAAGGTTAGAACATCTGGAAAACCCAGATACCATTAGAAAACAGCTACAAAATGTGCAAACACTTGCAAAAGCTTGTGGTTTCAGTACGAGAGCAGGTCCCGGTGTCATGGTTGTGTTCACAAGTCTTGGAGACTGACACGATGAAAATCTGATCCTATCAAATGCCTGAAAATATAAAAATTGAGGCAGACGTTCAAGGGAAATAAACAGATTGTCACCAGAAGCTGGAGAAGAAGATTGTCAGCAAATAAAAACTAAGTCGTTGAGATGAATTGTCCATTGAGTCTGGACTTCATTCATTCGCATGCTGGCAGATTTAAATGTTTTATTGCACCAGATTTTGCTATTGCTTGGGTAACTGTTTTGGAGACAGTTCTTGAAAATAATTAAAAGCAAAACAAGACATTGTTTGTTTCATGAACAACACAAAAACTCTACAAACAATACAGAACCTGCACTTAACACACATTTGCATTCTGATTTACTTTAAAGACTTCCAGACAAAAAAATCAACTCTGCTTTACAACCACTGGGTGAAAAATCAATTAGAAAAGTCACAGTGTATGTTAATTTAAAGAAAATATTGGCAGTGAAAATTTGGAACACCATCTGAATTTGTGAGATAAAGGGAAAGGACATATTTGTGAGTTGAAACACAAAACTTGACGCCTGATCCCCTCAGGTTTGTAATTAGATTTTTTTGTAGAATTTGAAAATCTGATATGGTCATTTGAAACCTATTAATGATTCAAACTATCACAGTGGCATAATACATTTTTTAAATGTCTATGAGCTCAAAAGGCTTCCCAAACTTCCAAGCACCATTTAAATTGGAAGTTCTCAGTGAAAAAATGAGGAAGGGCAGGAACAGTTAAATGTAACAGATAGATGTTGAGCTCTGTAAAATTCAAACAATTTTTCAGAATTACAGCGGTTTGGTTTGAAACAAATTAGCTTGGGGTGACACACTGAGAGCGATACTACAATATTAATGCTTTACATTTCATCTGAAAGTCCATTTGCTTCGGAAAGGGTGGAGTTTGAATTTTCCACGAATTAATGATGTGATCTCATTGAAGAGCTGAGGCTGTGCTACTGAACCTAAAAAGGGAAAATCTACAGAAATAAGGGTGTAATTTGGTTCATACCGGGAACTGGCCTCGGTTCCTCAAGCATTCACCTACCTTTAATTTAACCATGCCATCAAAAAGTGCACATAAGTTAGTGGAGCAGAAAGAGCTTATGCCCTCAGCCGCTAACCACTGTCATGGGATTACTTGCCACATTTTTTTCTCTCCACCTCTTTTTGCAGGCTTGCATGTGCACACAGACAAATTCCCTGCCACAGGGAGTGAAACACAGGTCAAACAAAGTCCCCAAAGACCACTACGCAGTTGTGTGTTGGGGAATTAGAGAAATGTGCATTGCTCGTGTGTGCTCCCTGTCTTCCTCTGCCAACTTCACTGTGGTCCAGGTTGCCTGGGTTAGTACCCAGGGGAGCAGATGGAGAAAGAGGAAGGAAAGAGCAGAGCGGGAATGACAGCTTAGGTGAATCGACCTGGTGGGGCAGCCCAAAAGAAAAAAAAAACGACAGAAAACATGTGTGAGTCAAAGGAGCAGAGGCACACAAGGTGATGAGGGGGGAATGAGGAGAAAGTGGAGGTGGACGTGTGGCTGAAGAGGGAGGCTGGGGAGAGATTACAGAAAGGGCACAAAAGAGGAAGTTAGGGGATGGACACAATCACAAGCCTCGGGGGATGCACGGAAAGGAAAGGGGAAATGGAGGGAAGGATAGATGCACCGAGTTTTGACTGTACTCACCCATGACTCAGCCAAGGCAGGACCTTTCATTACAGGCTCCCATCAGGCCCTGCTGCTGCTAATGTGCTGGAAAATGGGCAGTAACGCTGTTATCTGTTTTATGTCCCCTGCTCTGCTGTGCTTCACCGATAGCCTGCTGACACGCACGTTTACACACAAATATCCATCCGCCTGCATAATTGCATGCAAAGACTAATGCAATGCACACATCAAGGTGTGCATAGATCCACATTAGGAAAATGGATGTGTGCATTCAAACACATAACTCGAGTGCAACTCTGAACACACTTGTTATAAATTAGGCAAAGACACATTTTACACTGGAGAGGCTACACAGGTATACGAGTGGGAGAAATTCATTTATTGTTGTAAAAGTGCCGGTTTATGTCAGGCGATGCATAAAATGCTTTGCAAGTTTTTATTTATTTATTTTTTCTTGTAATAATTATGTGCAAATGACTTTGTGGGATTTGGGCTATGTTTTTTATCAGTTTTAACGTATTTCTGAAAAGATTTACAAATATTTTCGATGGTTATGCTGAGATTACTGTACAATTATCAGCAAGATATAAAATAAATATATAATAAATATAAAATAAAAGTTAAAATTTTCATTGAAGCAGATTATTGATCTCTGTTTTACTTTAATCTCAGCAAGTAGCTGATGAACTGATGATCAAAGGAGAACCTTTTTCTGAAATGGAGTAGTTCAGATAGCATTTTTATTGTGGTTCATTATTTTATAAACCTTTACTTTGTTGTTAATTTCTATAGTTATGGCAGAGTGAGAGATGGCAGCAATCCACTTTGGTCTTGGGTCAGACTGGTCATCAGTTTATCAGCTGGTCCAACAGAATTTTATGCCCCCAAAATGACGCCTGTCACTGAGCAATCTACAAAAAGCAAGATTCAAAACCCTTCCGCTAAACCCCACTTCAAAGCATCTGAACTGTCTGTTTAAGTAATATTTTGTTCTAGCCTTTAAAAACAAAACTGTATTTAGGAATAGGAGCAGTTGACGAATTAACCTGAAAAATGTTTTGCTGACTTCAGGATTTTATGCAAACTCATGTAGTAACTACGATAAAAAGATAAACATTTTGCAAAACTGGATGAGGTTCTAAAATCCAAAAGCACTCACTTCATTTCCTAACAGCATCTACTACCTTGTAGTAGCATTGACGCTCTCTTTTTCTTGTTTCTTTTCCTCACTCTGTTGTTTAGGTTACGCAATACTGCAGGCAATTATGGAGAGAGCGGGGCAGGATGCATGGCAGGTCAGGACACACACACACACACACACACACACACACAAACAAACACTGGCATTCCTGGAAACCTGCCAGAAAACATACATCTCAAGGCGGACAATCTCACACAGCTCCGTAATCCATTTAATCACATACGCACACAGACACATTTTGAACTTACTTATGTTGCATGACCGTATTCCTACATCATATTTGCATTTGTATAACCATTTCTTGTGAACAGGTGAGTGCGATCTGTGTGGAGAGTTTCAATGAYGCAGCGTACCGCAGACTCTTAGAAGAATTGGATCGACGGCAGGAGAAAAAATATGTCATCGATTTGGAGCCTGAGAGACTACAGACCATCCTTGAACAGGTAACATTTGGCATAAAAGTTTACTCAACTACGATGTGAAAATTTTCATAATCATAAAATTGGGGAACCATAGTGTTAAGTCAGGAGCCAAGTAGAGCTGAAGGACAGTATGTCCAAAGRTAAAAAGAAGTGTTTTCGGATGAGACCTAGAAACACCACTCATGAGGGATAAATCATTAGACAGCATTATGAGCATTTGGCAGAATTTCAGGAGTCATACTGTTGGCCTGCATAAGACCAGGTGGGCATGTGCAGTTGCCTGCATGAAAGGCATGCAGATCTCACAGAGGCCTGATGTTGGAACCAGTGGGTGCCCGAAAGGAACAATTTCCCATCTTGAAAGTTCCAGTCATCAAAAAAAAAAAGACGGGAGATATGTTGTATTGTGCATCAATGATCAATAAACCCCATGGCATCTGGGCCTGTCATGCAGACATACTAAACTGTTTACAACAGTGAGTTATCATGRACAGCACCTCARCCACTGGCCAAGGCAGGGTTCATTCGGATTTAATGGATGCCAATAAGGCCATTGCATTTCAGTCCTCTCATAAGTGGGAGGTTTGAACGGATGATGAGTAGCACTGTACTGTATCCAATTATGAATCTTGGTTCTACATTAGGGATGGGCAACTTAAATGATGGAAGGGSCCACCATTTTYTGTTGGCACTRCTAGAGGGTCACAGCGCTGCACACTTACCCAAATAAAGTGACATTTTAATAATGGTTTTGTACTTATATTTGCGTACGGTGCAGTAACTAAGCATATTTCATGTTCAAATACATGTACAACAGTTGTACTTTTGTTTAATAATTACAAATACAAAAGGTTTGAAGCAAACAGAAAAAATAACAAGTTAGTGAGCTGAAGTGAAATGGCATAAGACACATTGACTCCAGTGGTTCTGGTATGAAGTTGCTGTTTTTGTGCTTTGAACTTCAGCAAGCTTTAGTAAACATCTCTTACTGTATTTAGCTTTGTGCAACATGTTGAAGTGGCGACTTATATTAAAACCCTCTTAGGCAGACAGACTCTGAGCAGACTAAACACATGGGTTTGCCTTGAAATTCTATGAACAGTCTACCTCCCATTTCACCAGAAACATTCATTCGTCTCTGTCCGGTTTTCTTTTTTCTGTTCTTAGCCATGGCTAAACATCTCTTCCTCTCTGGTAGAGAAGACATGCACGCGGTGGGGGTGTTATCTAGTGGCAAACTTTGTCATTACAACCAATTCAGTGCCACTGACAAACTTTTATAGAATTTTCTAAAATTAATGTAAGAGCTGCTTTGAGCGTGTTTTTAAGTTAAAAAAAAAAGCTGCCTCACTGGCAGGCCGGATGGAAGTCGTCCGCAAAACGGATGTGGCCTGCCAGTTGCTCATCCCTGTTCTCCATTATCACATATGAACATTGTGTGTGTGCGTGCGTGCGTGCGTGCGCGTGCGTGCGTGCGTGCGTGTGTGTGTGTGTGTGTGTGTGTGTGTGTGGTGCAGAGGGAAAAGGACCAATCTTGAGATTATTGTGAAAAAGAAACCAAATCAGCGTTACTCCTAGCATCATGCAGTGAGGAGCCTGTCTTTCTTGTCTGCGTCGTTTTAAGGTCAATTCATGGCCAGCCCTTCCAATTAAACATGTCAAGGATCAGCCTGAATGTCCATTCAAACCTATTGTCAATCTTGCGTATCTCTGGGATCAGCTGACAGCTCTGAGTCAGCTTGCAACAGACGAGGTTAGAATGTTTTACGAATTGGTTCCCCAGCAAATCATCACTTATATTCAGACCTTTTAACACGCACAGTTTCACAACTCTCTCTGGATGCTAAATTTTTGTTTCACTGAGTGTACATTGCAGAGAGGACACTAATTAGAAAAATGAAATTTTACACCAAGTAATTACATATAGAGAAAAAAAGCATGTTTTCCATAAGTTTTAATGTTTAGCATTACTAGTTTCCATCAGCAGTTTAAAATGCTCTGTTCTGTAACCGCTGGTGCTCTGACACTCATTTAGAGCTTGAACAATCATGCAGGATGTTTAACAGGGTACTGCAAAAGCAKATGCTACACAATGGTTTTAAACCTCACTGTTACCATCGCTGAGATCTCAAAGCAATGCAGAGATTTCATCACTGACCTGAACTTCAGCACTTGAGATTTAATCGTGTGCTACAACCGCCTTGTTAATATGGGTCTCTACTGCATTGAAGATGTGATAAGCAACAAAAAATTATTTAAACTATTTGAAAAAAAAGAAGAAAAGTAGAGTTGCTAATTATTGTAGTACTATATGAGTATTTTCTCTTTCTCTTACTGCTGGTGTCTATCTGCCGGCTGTCTTCTCCACTCAGCTAGTTCAAACAGCACTCCAGATGCTTTCTGACATCTGGAAAGGAAACAAGATTTGTGTTTTCCTTGGAGTTCATAATGTGGAATGAAAAATAAAACTTCCCCGATAACACAACACTAGTGTTTGTTTGAAGTAATGACACCACACACACACACACACACACACACACACACACACACACACACNCACACACACACACACACACACACACACACACACACACACACGCACACAATAATTTAGAGCAGCCAAATGCATACACAACATAAAAGCATGCACTCTGACACCTTGTGCTTGTCTAAACCAATTAGATTATCTGTCTTGTTTGATGGTTGAGACTTGAGATGTGGCAGGTGGCTTAAATGTGTTGTGGGTTTGTGTGCGTGTGTGTTTGTATGCGGCCCTTTACTCAGGTTAGAGTGTGATGCTAAATCAGTTCTGCCACCTGTCATCACATCTGATCCTATGTGTGCACATCTGACAATCCCTGTGACACATGCAACCAAAACACACACACACACACACACACACACACACACACACACACACACACACACACACACACACACATGCACACACATAAAGATTCTTCAAAGACTCACAGTTACAAAAAAATTCGGGTTATGATAAACAATATAACATCTCCAATTCAAAAACAGATGGGATGGATTTCAATATTTTTTTCATTTGTTATGAGACAAAAATACAAATTGGATTAACTCCAAAGTTTTGTGCCAGAGTTTAAATTAAAGACTTCATGTGATCTGTTAAAAAATCATTAAAAAATTACTTTCAGCAACTTCTGCACCAATATTTAGCTCAATATTCTGCACCAATATTTAGCTCAATATCTGCAAAACTGATTGAATTATAGTCATTTTTTGTTTACTAAAAATGATTTACTGTGGCTGCCACCTTTAGTCCAGTTGGGATATTTTGCTAACAGCTCATCAAACAGACAAATGTACAAATAAACAAACACATACCAATGACATTATTGCCTGCCTTTGAAGTGCCACACATTTCATGAAATGTTTTGAATGGTGAAACGCATGATTGAATAATGAGGTAAAAAATATGAATATTAACATATCAAATGTGATAATATTTTTCTACAAAAGTGATGTTCTTCCATTGCTTTGAATGGTATGATCTACTTTGCTTCATGTTTCCTTAAAAATATAACTTTTCTTCCTACATGGGCTGTTTTTCACAGAAGCTTGTGTGAAGCTGCTGTGACACAGAGATAAGTTCCCTGGGTGTGTGTGTGTGTGTGTGTGTGTGTGTGTGTGTGTGTGTGTGTGTGTGTGTG